AACTGTACAAGTAGGTAGGTAGGAAGCTGGTTAGGTACTGTAGTTACAGTGCAGCAAACTCTCCCCAAAAGTTTGGTGAGGATCTTTGACTGATCCAATGTTGACCTAAATGACTTACGATGACGATAAAGGGAATCCACCTGTGTGTAATCAAGTCTTTGTATAAATGCATCTGCTCTGTGATCATCTTAGGTCTGTTAAAATCGCAGACTAGAGCATCATGAAGGACAAGAAACACACCACGCAGGTCCCAGATACTGTTGAGGAAAAGTTTAAATCTGGATTTTGATACAAAAAGACTTCCCATGCTTTATCAAACCATTGGGAATCTACAAAGACAAGGCTATCCTTCTAGACTTTCAGCTCAAACCAGGACGATGAGAGATGCAGCCAAGAGGCCCATGATCACTCACTGCAGAGATCTACAGCTGAGGGGCGAGACTGTCCGCAGGACAACAATCAGTCATAAGCAGCACAAATCTCGTCTTTATGAAAATAAAGCTATTTCTTAAAGATATCCATAAAAAGTCTCGTTTAAAACTACTTGGGAGACACAGCAACCTTTGGAAGAGGGTGATCTGGTCCGATGAACCCAAATCTAACTTTTTGGAAACAATTCCAAACATTTTGTTTGGCGTAAAGCTACACAGCTCATAAGTCTGTATACTGTATCTGTATCAAACATGGTGGTGGCAGCCTGGGTGGGTAGGTTGGTAGGTAAAGAATAAGGCCACATTTTATATTTTTGATCTTTTCATTGAAATATTAGTGTGTTAATTCTACTGCAAAGGACTGTTTTGATTGGAATGATTGGGCTGGGTTGCAGAGGAAGTAGTCTAAGCAGAGATGCCCAGACTTCCCGATCAACACACACCTCTTCCAGCTGCTCCGGGGGCGACCCCGAGGTGACACCAGGCCAGCTCAGAGACATAGTCCCTGCAGCGTGTCCTGGGCCTTCCACGAGGCCTCCTCCCAATTGGACATACCTGGCACACCTCCAGAGGGAGGCGATTGGAATAGTTAGGTTAATTATCATTGATGATGTGTGAGTTTATTAAACCTTAATATTAGCTGCCTTTTGCGTGTCAGAACTGATGTTTTCCACAATAGTTTATCTAATTAAGACAGTTCCTCTGTCCAGATATACAGTATAATCTTCATTCTGTACGTGGAAAAGATTTGGAAATGGAATGAGAGCGGTGTCCTTCAGCAAAGAACAAAGTGTAATATTTTGATAAGGCTGGAGCCATGGATGTCTCCTCATCTACTATCATGCATGATGTAATGATGTGATGATGTAGCAGACTGGAGATGTATAAAATGCCTTTTTAACTGTTAATCGTGGCCACTTCCTGGGAGGTGAGCCCAGAGGTAAGCAGCTGCTTTCTGTAAACTCTAAGCAACTTCTTTGATCCGAGTAAGATTACAAGTTCTATCAGAATCTGTTGTTACGTCTCATGGTTATTTAATACATACAAGTTACGGAGTGTTATTTAAAGAGTTTGTCCCGAGTGATCTCTTTTCAGGAAAAAGAACCGGCGAGATAAAGCCTCAAGTTGCATACACAGAGCCTATCTTTAACAAAATAATTGATGGCTTTTATAAACTATGAGTGTTTCTAACTTGCATGTTCATGTTAATGTAATATTTAGGTAGTCGGTTAGAGTCTAACAGCTGGAGATGCTAATACTGAACAGGAATGCTAACAGAATAACGTGAGCACAGATGAGAATAAAGCGAAAGACCAAAACAAGACGCATCACGCCTGATATCACCATGGCAAGATTATTATCATTGCAATAACAAGATCATCTAATGTTAAGCAGGCCTGGTATACAGATACACTCTACTGAACTTTTAAGGGACCTGGCTATGTGAGCACGGCTTATGCTTAATTAGATATCGGAGGTAAACTTTCATAGAGAATTACATCTGAGATCAGACGGTTCCAAACTTAAGAGATAAAAGTAATTAAAGCCCTGCTGGCAGTGCCTGCTGGACATAAACAGAACATTGCCACGCAGTAATAAAGAGGTAAATCAGACCAATGGACCTTCTGTCAGGCCCAACCTCAAACACTCTCAGCAAAAACCTCCAGGGTATTAAAGTCGGAAAATCAGGCTTATTTAAAAGCTCCAGCACGCTTAGACACTTGTTAGGTTGTATGGGGAATATTCAATTTACATATCCCCAAATCAGTTCTGACTGATGAAAGAGAGGTAAAGTGCAGAATCCGTATCAGAACCCTCTGAGAATAAATAAAAACACAGCGAGGTTTTGGATTTAGCTCAGATAATCTCATGTGAAACTAGCAAATAAATGTTTGTTACTCTCATTCGGCTTGAGAGGAAATGTTGCAGATCCCACAATATTTACAAATTACAGGCTGTTTAATCTCAACAAACAACGTTATCAGCAAACTGTGTCTTTTAGTGCAATGGAGGATTTCAATCTAAACATAAAAAAAAAAAAATACACATTCAAATTTCAAGAGAGAGAAGCTTTACATTTGTGTGTTGACATTTGGTTCTGTATGAAAAGAAAGAGGTCAAGCAAGAACGAAAGCATCTTTGTTTGCTTGGACGCTCAACTGTCTGCAGGTGCTTCTCCCATGACTCATGCTTGTTTCCCAGCACTGTGCAGAAAAAAAGCTTTTTCATTAAAGGGATGTTATTGGACCTTTTGGCCCCTTTTGCAACAGTTTGACTGTAACAAGTGTCGCACAAATAAAGTGCAAAAGGGCCGGAGGGTCGGGCATCTGTTGGTGTTTTGATGAGCTGTGGGAGCAGATGGAGGAGTCCAGGAAATTGTCATAGTTTGCACAGAGGAAAGGACTGAACCCACTGTTAGGACTGATGGGGGAATGAGAAGACTATTAGCAGCTCCCAGGAGTCCAAAAGACGTGTTCAGAAAGTTGTGGCCAGTCTCTCAGCTTTTGTTTTCAACAGTTGAGGCTTATTCTCCTTTTTAAAAGCTTGGTATTATAACCTGTTCTCTGTTAATCTCTCAGCATGCACCATTTGGCAGATCAACATTTCCTAGGATGCAGAGGAATAAAAAAGCATATTACTTATAAAATATAAATTTAATGTGTAATCAAGTCTGAATAGCTACACCTCTACATCACCTTATTTTTGCCTCGACTGAAACAGACCTAATGGGGATCAGTGATGTGAAGGTAAAAATCATTTAAGGACATGGAACCACCTGTATTCTGGACATTTTCCCAGTGTTGCTGAGGTTCTTTCGTATGCATGAAACACATGGTGGGAAACACACCAAGCTGTTTCACAAACTGTGAATTTTATCTTTAGCAGAAAGACGCAGTGCTGCAAAGAACATCTGGGGGCAAGATGCTCTACAGTCCTGCCAGAGAATGAGTTTAAAACAATGTTATGGGTGGGCTTCATTGAGGTGATACCCTGACTCATCTGAGAAAAAAGCATGGAAAGGATTTTTTAATGCAAAAATATGAAAGCTGTAGTAAATTGTTTAGGAAAAAAAAAAAAAAACTTAAAAAAACTTAAAATTGTAAATCTAGATGTAGCAGAAGGTTTGAAGGCGGCTAGAGCTCCACCACAGAGCCCCTCACACAATGTTTAGAGTCAGAATATCAAACAAAACATACTTTTTTTAATTCACTTTAAAAATTGCAACTATATATTGGCTGCACACAAAGAAGCACATAAACAAAGATAATGGTTTAAAAACAACTGAAGCTTCAGATCCAGAAACATTCATATGGAAAGGATTGAGGGCTAAGGACAGAAAGGATTTGTCTCATGTCCATCGATCTGAAACCCTCCTTTGAATTAAAACTTTCATCTTATTTGGAAATCAAGGTCCTGGATGCTGGAGAAAGAGTGGTGCCTAAACCAGCTTTATAAGCTCTATGGGGATGCTGAATTCATAATAGCCAACATGGCATTAAGTGCCAATACCTGCTTTAATGACTGTGGTTTCACTGGGTTTGACTGGTAAGCAAATAGACCAACCTAAATCACATGTTACCTGCCACACGTCATTTTGTGTCAAATCCCCCCTTCTTCAAATCCGCTAACAATGGGGACAAGTTTCAACCAATCTTCCAATCCATTGTACGTAAAAGATCTGCTCTGGTCGTGCGCATGCCAGTGACCTATGCTACATTATTGGCTGAACGTTGCCACATGGTGTAAAACGTTGTGGTGCCCAGACAATGATAATAACATCACGCAGCGTCAGTGTGTCGAGTCGGAAGTCGGTAGGGTTGCCAACCATCCCTTGAAAAACGGAATTGTTCCGTATTTAGAAATAGAAGTACCTGTCCCGTATTTAGTGGAAAAGGAACACACTTTGTCCCGTATTACTGTGAAAGTAGAAAAATAGTTAGTAAAAAGCTAATGGAAAATGATTTACAAGGGCACGTTAGATACAAGACTTACGGTAAACTTGTTCCAGGGGCCCATCCTACATTGTGACCAATGAGCTGACAACATATATGTAACATTCCAGAATACCCTCATCCCATTGATAGAGCCAAGTGTTGCTCACAGAAAAGATAGTGGGAGAGAACAGAGCAGTATGGAGGACGAACGGAGTAATTCAAATGCTGATGCTGCTTTTGGGGGCGTTGCACCTTCGCATAGCGATGCTCCTCCTTAATATGTGGAGTTGCCATATATTAACATCATAAGAAGGGGTAGGGCCCCTAGCAGATCTGGTACCTACACCATCATTAGTTTTACACTTGTCATTAGTTTGGTTCCAGAAAGCTTTTGAAGCTTTATAGACGTTCTGATTTTCCACAGAAACCCCTTTTTGAGCTACAGTTTTTAGAAAGTAAAAAAAACTGATATCATTGTGGCTATAAAATATAGTAGAAAAATCACCGAACCATTTGAGACAAGGGTGTTAGGAAACACTGCAGATGTTTGGGAACACCTGACCCGACAGGATGAACACCAGCCTTCTTTCAGACCTAAACCCAGTTACTTACTGAGGAGGGTGGTTTTGCTTACCTTTCTTCCTGTTGAAAGCGCGGTTCATAATGGAAAATGTGCGTCACTGAAGTCCCTCCTGACCGTCTGCCAATCCACCACCTGTAAAAAGCAGTGGGGGCAGAGAATTAAAAAAGGTTTCAACCTCAAACCTTTGCTAAAAGTCAACGGAAAGTTTAAAACAGTCCCAGAAAAACAAGACAGCAAATGCTCCAACATGCCAGAATGAGGTAAAGTTATTCAGGGAAAAGGGTCCGAAAAGGTTTGTATTTATATTTATCTCTCACTAACTTGCATCACACTCTGTCCAAGTGGAAAGTGCCCCTGAAACATGGCCATACTCAGAAAACAGGATGTTTTAGGTCAAAATGTTCATTATTAGGTTCTTCTGTGGAGTTTTGTTCAATCTAAGCCTTTCTTCTGAAAAACCAGCATCCATAGAAGTCTTTATCTGGGTTCTAAAACATGACACAAGGTCAGAATTAATGTACAAAACAGCTCCATCCACACCAACCTTGGGAAGATAAGAGCAAATACAAATAAGCCTCAAAACAGCATAATTCTCCACTTTCACTTTCAATGTCCCCCGAAAAACATTAAGGTGATTTCTTTTGCAAATGAAAAAACGTCCACCTCCGCAGAAACTCTAAATGTGACCCCTTATTCAAACGCCATCAATTCCCCACGAGCGTTGGGCAATCTGCAGAACGACAAGGACAAACGGTGGCGGAGTGGTCGCTGTCAGCTCGCTCCACAATCAATACTCCTTACTATTTGGCTGCGGGAAAAAATACTGAGGGGAGGTCCCCTTCATTATGGGCGTCTCAGAACTCTGCTTTTTCAAAAATACATTAACCCCAAACAGAAATACCAAGTACATTTTTCCATGTCTGCCATTTTTCTTCTTGTCATAAAAGAAATATGAGAGATTAGAGGGTAAAANCCGGGGGCGACCCCGAGGTGACACCAGGCCAGCTCAGAGACATAGTCCCTGCAGCGTGTCCTGGGCCTTCCACGAGGCCTCCTCCCAATTGGACACACCTGGCACACCTCCAGAGGGAGGAGATTGGAATTGTTAGGATAACTATTATTGATGATGTGTGAGTTTATTAAACCTTAATATTAGCTGCCTGTTGCGTGTCAGAACTGATGTTTTCCACAATAGTTTATCTAATTAAGACAGTTCATCTGTCCAGATATACAGTATAATCTTCATTCTGTACGTGGAAAAGATTTGGAAATGGAATGAGAGCAGTGTCCTTCAGCTAAGAACAAAGTGTCATATTTTGATAAGGAGCCATGGATGTCTCCTCATCTACTAGCATGCATGATGTAATAAAGTGATGATGTGGCAGACTGGAGATGTATAAGACACCTTTTTAACTGTTCATCGTGGCCACTTCCTGGGAGGTGAGCCCAGAGGTAAGCAGCTGCTTTCTGTAATCTCTAAGCAACTTCTCTGATCTGAGTAAGTTTACAAGTTCCCGCCGGGCAAGTGCATTTGCCCGCCGGGCAAGTGCAATGATAACAAACAAATATTTATCACTCAAAATTACTTTAAAATCACAGACATTCGCTGAAAACGACCCACAAGCGTTGCCGGCGCCATCTTTGCTGTTATGTACACATTCTTGCTTGATTTGAAAAAAAAAAATGCGTGATTTTCCGCTAGATGCCGTGATTCAGCTCTTGGGGAGAGAATTCTCCAGAGCAGCAGCTGGATGATGAATTTAATCTGTACTATAATACACGCTAGATTAAAAATGATCAGTCAGGGATTAGGAAAATAATAATAATTGTATGCCCACAGTGTAAATATTTCTATCATATGGCAGTCTTCTGTACAGTGGTCATACATTAAAAAATGTTCATTAAATTTTTTTCTCTTAGACATTGGAGTGGTGCATTTAAATGTTATAGAGCTAAACATGGTAAATTGGTGAGTAGTAGTAGTGTAAGATTTTAACCTGTCAAGTTTTTTTTTAGATTTTTAACATTACAATTTATATTTTTCCATGCACACAATAGTTTAAAGCAAAGTGTAGTTTGAAATGAATGTGCAGGAAGGATTAAAAAGCATGTTAACACGGTAATGTAGGCTTGAGTTCATTATCTGATGATGCATACACACACCAGGAACCTGTAAACTTACTGAATTATAAAAAAAACATTTTAAAAACAAACATGTTTCATTGATATATATACAAAAATGAATATTAGGAACTATATTTATCAAACATTATACTGGGCAAGTAAAAATTGTTTCTGGGCAAATGAAATGTGAAAGCCACTTGTCCGAAATCCTTAACGTCAACCCCTGAGTTCTATCACAACTGTTGTCCCGTGTCATGGTTATTTAATACATATAAGTTATGAAGTGTTATTTAAAGAGTTTGTCCTGAGTGATCTCTTTTCAGGAAAAAGAACCGGAGAGCTTCAAGTTGCATACACAGATCCTAACAAAATAATCGATGGCATTTACAAATTTGCATGTTCATGTTAATGTAATATTTAGCTAGTCGGTTAGAGTCTAACAGCTGGAGATGCTAATACTGAACAGGAATGCTAACAGAATAA